TGTCCGTCAGCATCAGCCTAAATATGTTGCATCCCCAGTTCCTAATTCCTTAGCCAATAATTTATGTAAACTATGAAAAGCAAACAGGCAGCAAAAATCGTGGGAGACACTGCCAACATTTCCAACAAGCATCAAGTCGACATTCAGAATTTCTTGACACTTTCACTATCGACTCACGGCTGTTCAGCTTAAAGTCCTTCAGTCTTAAGTTTTCACACATACTTCAGCACAATTAACAGAATATCAACAAGTAATTAAAATATTATATTTATGCAAACGTGACTTAACTTCACTGCGATAAACACTACAACTGCATCATCTTTAAAACTCAAGAGAAGGCCTCAAAACTTGCCTTAAAAGCCATTCAGGTCTCTTTTCTTTAGATTCTTCTGACCATACATGCGTCTCACCTTTAACATCCTAACACGGGAGAGATGTGAACACAACTGTGCTCATGCTCAGAAGGGAAAAACCCCCTCAAAAAACCATTGAATTTAATGTGTTTTCTCCACGTTTCTCCCACTATATTTCATTTTAATCACAGCTGAAGTTATAACAACATTTAGAGTGGAGCAGAGTGCTGTGCTGATTTTGGGAGGGGTTTGTAATTGGACCTCAGTGTGAGTCACAGTGTAAAAGTTCGGGGTCTCAGCAATAAGGAAGACCTACATGGCTGAGAGTGAATTAGTAACCAGGTCAAAACCAGATGCAAGAAAAAGAATTCATGAATCAAAAAGTTCAGGATGTGTCTATCTTCATGCTAATACATGTATATGTGACACGTACGTTTTTGGCCAGTAGATGGAATTGGTGACCAACAAATTTAAGCTGCAATAACATTCATACCCACTCAAAGTACACATGTAGAGGAGTTTGGAGTACATCCCAGTAACACAGGAGATAAGGATCAGAGGCAATGATAAGGTCTATTGAATTACACTAAATTAATAATGCTTTAGATTTAACTTTACCTCTAAAGTGTCTGTGAGGCCAAACATTTAGTCGCCGTCACAAGGCTAAAGTAACCAGTGATGATCTCAAAGCCTATTCCAGGCCTCGCTGGTTTTCAAAACACATTACTTCTCTATTAAAACATTCCTGTTTGTGTTTCACTTCTCTGTAGCTGAAGTGACAGAGAAGCCAGCTCACTGCTGTTGCTTTAGAACGCACGTGGCACTAAATCAAAGCACTCAGACAGAAATGCTTCAGGGAGCTTAGAGTGCGTGCGTGCGTGCGTGTGTGCGCGCGCGCGTGTGTGTGTGTGTGTGTGTGTGTGCGCGTGCGTGCGTGTGTGTGTGTGTGCGTGCGTGTGTGCGTGTGTGCGCGTGTGTGTGTGTGTGTGTGTGTGTGTGTGCGCGTGCGTGCGTGCGCGTGCGTGCGTGTGTGTGTGTGTGTGTGTGTGTGCGCGTGCGTGCGTGTGTGTGTGTGTGTGTGCGTGCGTGTGTGTGTGTGTGCGCGTGTGTGTGCGTGTGTGTGCGTGCATGTCTGTCCTGCTCCACGATGTTTTCATAATTCAGACATTTAGTGCACTGAGCCAGCCTGTCTCGCGGTGTAACCATGGAGACTATGCGTTTACTAATGGGAGGTCGCTTCCACCCAGAAGCTAAAGTGTCTGCACCCAGCAGGGTGGAAAACAGCGCACACTCAACCAGTTGTTAACACGTGAATTTGCGCATGTAGGCCAATTATCACCACAATTAACGCTGTCCATCACAACAATGTGATGCTCAGACACAGGCGCGCTCATTACAGTCACACTGGTCATGCACGTATAGTCACATGCACACACAAACTAGAACTAGTCTGAGCACAATATCTTAGCTCCAGCTCAAATATTTTCAAATACTTAGTACAGAATCGACCCCATTGCTCTTTGTGGTGTTGGTGCCTCTCTGCACACCGGACTGTTTGCACTGTGATGAATATGTAATGATATTTTTTTATGCCTTTAAATGGCAACTTACCTTTGAATATAAAATCTATGAGAGCAGAAAACAAAAAGCTGTTTTTCCTTTAATTTAAAAATGGCACAAACTCTCAAGTTTATATTATTGTCCAACTGTATTTTTACTTAAATGAATTAAAGTAAAAATCAAATAATGAATGCTTCCCGTGGCTGTATATATGCAAACATGCTATTGATCTGCATTTTCGTTTATATTTGTGCAGGTTACACAAAGTAAATCACTGCAACAATTGAACAAATCTGAATGACGCGTACATGAGTGGGAGTCCAGGGGAAATACTGGGAGGGGGACTTGGCTCCAGATGTAAGTAGAGGCCCAGGCTTGAAAAGCACAGGAAACAGATAACTGAGTGACGGGATCATGACTCAGCGTGTGTGCGTGAGTACATGGGGTCTGTGCTCAGCCACGTATAGTCACGGTAAACTTAGTATGTGCATGTGACTCATGTGAGCCATGATGAGTCCAGCGGTGAGTCACATGGTCATCTGTACATGTTTAAGGACAAAAATGAGAATGTTGTGAAAGAATTTTCTTTGCTTCTGTTTCACTTTCATTTTAAAGAACAAAGAGATGAGAAATACAAAATCCAAACAATGCATAATGCATAAGGGGAAATCCTGTGTATTATATACAGGAGGAGATATGTAGTGCGACCTCTGTATGACAGGGTGGTGTCTGCATGTATAATGGATAAGTATGTGTAATAACTTATGGGCTAAGAGGGAGAAATGGAGCACTGGGGCTCTCAAAGCTCAAAGGGTGGAGGGACCAGCACAGAACAAGACAATTCTGCCCTCTAGTGGTAAAATATATATATTAGGTGTGTAGTTTAAAACCGCAGCAAGCAAACACCTGTGTATTACACAGGTTACAGTATAACGGAGCATTAGGCACGACCAGACAAGACTTCTTGGGTCATGTAAAAGTTATTTGAAAAAAAAGAAGATGAAGATGAACATTTCAGGGCTTCATCCCCTCTGTAGGACTCGGTAATACCACTGGGTGTTTATTTACGCAGTTATAGAAGCACACATTTAAACATGGTCACCAGAACACGTACAGAATCGCACACAGAAAAACTGCTGAAACGTTTTGATAACTTTTGTTTTAAGAAGCTTTTTTCTTTAAGTTTGACTCTTACCAACATCCATCGGATTCCAATTCAGGACAATACAAATTAACCAACCGTAAAAAATAAAATAAAGCTTAGTTAATCTCCAGAACCGAAATCTCACAAATCTTAACCTACATTTGGACAATAAGTTAGAGCCTATGTGTCAGCACTACCTTTACCCCCTTGCTAGAAACCAGTGTTTAGCCCAGCTTTAAAGTTTAGAGGATCAACCCTGAATCATTACTATTGTATTTCTGTCTTTCACAGTTCTATGTTAAACAGAAGGCACAAACAAAAAGGCTGTTTTTCCCTTTATGTTTGCCTCAGTATGAGTTTGTGAGCCTACTCTGTCACCGCTGTCACCTCTGTTTCTCAATCTTTTTCCTTTAGTCTGCCAACTATTGTTGCTCCTCTTTTAGCCTCCTAACACAAAACACAACATAAACCTGTACAACCACTAATCAGCCATGACCAGATCCCCAGTAACGCAATAAAGGGATGTGAACTGTGTCGCAACTGATTTCCTGGTGACTGGGGGTGCATTTTTGCAGTTACTATGGAGATGTCAAAGTGTGGCCAGGACAAGCTCTTTTTAAAAAAAAAGGTTTAGTTGGACAAGCTCTGCAGGTTACACCCACACTGCCAGACTCACAGTTTATAAGATAATGCGTTTTTGTTCACGGTGCTTAGAGCTGGCCAGTGAAATGCGACGCCGCGTCTACAGTTGAGTTAAAACTGTTGTGTCATATCTGCTCATGGTGGGGCAAGAGCTGCAAGTTGTCCAAAACTAACCGAGAAAGTCCAGAGAACACAGCTTAGGTCATTCTTTAGCAAATCCTCGAAACTTGATTTCTTCTGTTGGTGAATTGTTGGGCGTCTTGTAATTCTGCACGACTGGTAATGGCGTCACCAGGTAACGATCGCCAGGATGGTCACTCCTATGACCCGTCCATCTAATTCGAAGAACTACTCGAGTTCATGGAGGAACAACACGCAATCTTGTCAGTAATTATATCAGCGCAAAAATCCGAAAGCACTCTCATTAACCTCGATCTGACTGGGATTATTTCACTCTGGTCTAATTGTCTGGCTGATAACAAACGAACATAGCGACCCTCCTCTTATAAACTGCTCAGTATTTGCTGCCACAGAAACACGGGGAACAGCCAGCTGTGGTCTCTAAGGGGTTTTGTCTCACATCATAAATACTCTTTTTTTGTCGAGCTCTATTAGAAAAGAGAAACAAAGTTTCGACTGCGTGGACCTCCCCGGGTTAAAGCTGCTACACGACACAACAAACATGCTGATGAACAGTTCTGGAGCTCATGTTTTGTTCTATGATGTGACCTCACCACAAAATTTAATCATTTCTTCCAAGAAATCCATGGCTACTTCAAAACAAAAACTATTCTGGCCATGACGAGCTCTGGCTGCGCTCTCATTGGCTAGGCAGGTTTAGTGACCAGTTTTCCAAAGACATTTGCATTCCAGCTTTGCCAGCAGGTTCTGGTGAGCCAGCGTCGTTAAGGGTCCTGCACATGGAAACCTGCTGGTGAAGCCAGTGGGCCTGCAGCTGAATGACAGGATGATCTCTGTGAGGGGCTCCATAATGCTGACATCATTTTCGGACTTTGCCTCAGGGCTGCTTTCTGACTATAGCAGAGCCAACTGCACGAGGGGGGCTACAGCTGACAATGTCATGGCAGGCATTATGAAAGAGGGCTTGTGATTCATTGCAGATGGGCTCATCAAGACTTTGTTGTGCTGGCAAACCACTAACTCCACTTCTGTCTGTGGCTCTAGGATTGTAACAACTGGCAGGTGGCAGGATTCACCTCACAAGAAATGGTAAGACCATTAATGTGGCCTGTTTTCTTAGTTAGCTTTCCATGTGCTGTCCACATAAAAGAATAACTTACCCATTGCCCAGATCATCAATATCATCATCTTCGTCATCATCTTCATTTGGGCTCTTCCCGCCGAGGTCACTGTCGCTGAGGTAATCTCCCTTCAGGAGGGTCGGGTTGGAGTCGTCCAGGGATTCGATAAGGTGGATACGAGATGCGTGGCTGATCCTGAGGGGCACTTCTGAGTGGGCGTTACCCGTGGACGGAGCATCACCAGCTTGGAGACGAGGGCTAGCTTGACCCTGACGCCATGACAGCGGAGAGGAACGATTAGACAGACTGGAAACTGAGAAGGCAGCGGCTTCATCGCTGTCGTAGCACATAGTCCCCTCTGCACAGCTGTGGAAAGACAAACAAAAAGACAGTTTTTAGGTAATGAAAATAATTATTCACAGCTACATTTTTAACAGACAGGAAATGAATATCTGCGTTTCATTTCCTCTTCGATTTCAATCAATCTCTCCCCACCCTGTATCCTCCTCTCTCAGTGGAACATCACGATTTAAAAAGCATGCACGAGCTGAGATGTGCATGTTTGCATATATGTACACATGCAAGCTACATGTATATGTGAGGTGCATGTGTTTTCACATTCCTTTGTGTTGCTCTATGCTCCACGTAAATACGTGCCTACTTTATGCAGGCATATATTTGTATAAATGTGTACAAAGTGCATAAATGTCCTGTTCCAAGCCAGCGCAGCACATCGACGCTTAGTGTCTGCACTGACAGTGATGAGAATTAGCATATTAAAAGTTGCTAGCGCTCAAACTGTGTGGCAGCACATGCATTTGCTTGCTACATTAAAATTAATCCTCTCTGCATGATACAGAACAAAGCGGAACCAGCCAATAATAAAGACAGTTTTAAAAGTGCTAATGTTAAACAGGCAGAAAGGAAGTGGAGCCGTGCCCACTCAGATTTTCACAGGCTTTCTGTTTGTTATGTTTATTCAGTATATCAAGTAAAATATGTGTAAAGAAAACAATTTGCTTGCTCACTAATCCGCTTGTTGTATTCATATAAATGTTCCCTCCTAAGTACCCTTTATTCACCGGATATGCGACATCACGCTCACACGTGAATCTTCCATTTTTGGCATAACAGGGAGAGATTCAACGTTATTACCGTGAAATAAAAATATGAATGGCAAAGGAAATGTATTCCAGCAGGGAAGCATCTGCTGATTTACTTTACATGAAGGGAGACTCCCACTGAGGGACACAGATAGGACACATAGCAGGAGACTCATGGACAGGCGGACGGAAGCTCTCAAGGACAAAGTGTGGGGATATGGCGAACTCAACTAGAACCCAGCCCAGGAAACAGAGGAAGCACCGGTGCAATTAATCAGCGCATCATTGCTCGTCTTCTTGTGTGTGTAGATGTGAGTCGTGAGTGTGCATTGGAAGGGTTTGCTTTGAAGCCAGCTTTGAGCTAATCCTGCTTCTCTCCCATTTCAACCGACTCAAAGAGAGCAAAGAGGAGGTGGGAAATTACACACTAACTTACTCACAATACCGATCTTGATCTCAGAGCCTTCATGCAACCAGCTCACCCCAAAACACACAACAACCCGCCCATCCTACCTGTTACTATTTTTTACTCTGACCTGCTATTTTTCTTTTCCTTTGCTTTGGAAACCGGTTTGTCTGCATGCAGTTTGTTCCAAATTAATACTTTTCTCAGTAATCAAAAATGATGTTGTTACTTCACCTGCACAATGAGCCTTTTCCCGGCATCTGTGCTACTATCAGTTATTTTCAGTTCATGTGAAGAGAGGAGAAACAACCCTGACACTGCTGACCTGTGGCTGAGCTGCACGCCTCTCAGGCTGGTCATGGTTTCCTCCAGGTTCTGTCGAAGGTCCAGAACATTCTGCACCGTCCTTTTCCTCTGGGACTCTGGGTCTGCAGGGGGTACACACACGTGAGTGATCTTAACCACAAAAAATTGTCATGCTGCAACTTAAAAATGTCCATGTGCGTTTGAACAGGAGCTTAATGAATACAGATGCACAATAAAATATTAATTGAAACCCAATCAGTGAAGTTTTTCTATATTAGAAATGCTTGCAGTAGACTGCATAGGCTAATAATCATTCAATGTTCAATTCATCCACCCAGTGGCAATATCTAGGATTGCATGCAATAATGAAAACAAAGCCAGAAAAAACTCTACAACTATGGACTTAAATGGTGAAACTAGAAGGACTCCCAGATAAGAGAATGCAGAGTAAGCAGGTTTATTTTTCCCCAGATGGTAGTGGAGCAAAATAAATTAAATATGATGCAGACAGACGAAACAACAGGAGGCCTTTAAACCCACACAGCTCTAACACAGTGCCCTGGTGTTTGCTTATTCCATAGTGCCTCCTTGCCCTCTACTTTGTCACTGCCAGAATAAATCAAAAGCCTTTTACACTTCAACCCATCAAGGGACATACTGTCATTTGTCTCACCCCTTCCTAATATGCTATAATCTACTGAGATTACGCCACGTGGCGTCATGCTGAGTGGTGTAGCTACACTGCTGTTTCACACATGTGTACATGTACCGTATGTGTTTATGTGTGAGTGTGATTGCAGATAAAACTGGATGAAAATTCTTAATAAATCAATGCAGATATCCAGTATTTATGCTTAGGAATTTACTACTAATTAATTGAACCTAATTTTACTCAAATGTGTCAAACTGCTTCCACTTTTACTCCATGTAGCCAGAAACAAAGACGCCTCACTGGCTTTGACCCCTGCTCTCTCCGACTCCCTGACATGTTTTTGTGTCGAATGAGGAGAAGGTAATAAAAGTGTTATGGTGGCAGATATGGGGCACTCAGTTCACCCCGAGGTTCAGTTCAATAGACCATTAGAACTGACCAGCTGGCTCCTAAGCACGCACAGCACATGAGGGATAACATCAGATCAGTACATCCATCACTGTCACAGAGTCGTTCTGGCCGAGCAAATACGTGATATCTACGCTTCACGTGTTCATGTTTACATATACATTTTGTTGCAATATATTTAAAGTTGCTTATATTACTGTAGTAGTAGCTTCTTTTTCAGCTGGACTGTTGCATTAAAATTTACAGCAAACGGGGCCTAGCTGCTGAAAATATCCACACACGTACACACAGACAGCAGGCACTCCTAGGAATCAGTCCAGCTGGTTAGTGAGGAGGTGATGGGGTGGAGAGGTCATGCCAATGAGTGAGGGGGGGCTAATTATTAACTGCCACTCTCAACAACAGCTGCTGAATGAACACGTACATTCGTACGTTGCGTCTCGTCACGTGCAAACACACTGAGACACAGTGAGGAAAACGTCAGAGCAGATTTATGAAGCTGGATTGATTTTGCTTTTTCCTATACAGGACGGCCACATAGACAATTGATTGGAAGGGCCCTGGGGACGGGCAGCTCAATGTGGAGTCATTGAGATGCAAACCTTTGCGGCTCACATTCACATACACACACCGACACACTGGGAATGTTTAATCACAAAAATAGTCCGGCTTTGTTATGTGGGAGCACTCGTGTGAAAGGAAATCCGAGCTGTAAGAAGACACTTTTTATCCTCAAAATGTTCGTTTTAGGTAATGCGGTCATACAAAAGGTTTAGCAGGAACAAAGAAGCCTGAACACATGCAAACAAAAAAGTCTGAAATGCTCACGTGCGCGCGCGCACACACAGACACAAACACACAACTGCAGGCTTTAATTGGGCGATTTTAATTACCTTAAATGGGAGCTTTGTTTAACATTGGCGTCAAATTGATTGGATACGGTCTGTGTTATCGTGTGTATGTGTGAGTGTGCGCGTGACTTCCTGTCCTGCCTCTGCCCTGGCCTCGGTGGTCCCAGCTGGCGTGTGGGGGGGACGTAGAGGCAGTAGCGTTAAGGGAATTAGGGATGCAAATATCCCTGTCAGGGCTGGCTGCTCCCCAGGGCTGCAGATGAGTTACACTGATTTGGTTTACACTGAGTGCGTGCGGATCCACCTGCCTCTTCTCGACACACTCGTGAACACGCTCCTGCTCTGAAGAGCTGGCCGAGGCACCTTTCATAACGGCCCACTCAGACGCTTGAAATGAGAGTCAGCGAGTCTGAGCGAGACTGTTGTTGTAAGTGCACACACAGGCCAGTATCTCCATCTTAATGCGACTCTGCTCTCAGTCAGAGACACAAAACAAACTGACAGACTTCAAAGCAGCTTTGGTACGAAGGAGGAAAGTGAGCAAGCGTTTTATTTTTGGAAGCCATACTCTGCCTACTGCACCACAACCAGAGGACAGATGGTAAGGCAACACAAATGTACATCGATACGCAAAAAAGCCCCCTTTTTTAGTTTTTTTTGTCCCGTTGAGTGTGGTCAGGTCAAAGCTTGTTAAAATTAATTTCTGCCCTTTGATTTGTCAGATTTGTTCAGGAGCCACGTTCCTGACCCTTAAAAGCAGCAAAGCCAGATGTTTATACGGTCCTCAGGGCTTCAAGTGGTTTGGATGGAGACTGCTTTCAGCTGCACACAAATATTCAGTGGGTCTGTAGAGCCGTGTACGTAGGACCGACTCAAAATGAATCGCAGTGCCTGTCTTTACTTCTAATGATAGAGACCGACACTCAGTGCAACAGTGACTCATTTATGGGTTTTCTTTAATAGATTTATAACCGCAGCGGAGGACGAGGAAGGAGCTGGTGGGTGAATCCATTTCAATTTTTTGTCTTTTTGATTATATTTTATGAGAATCACAAAGGTGAAAAACAAAAATGTCGCTAGCTTGAAAAGAAGAGCAGGAGGTAGGAGTGCCGCAGTGATTATTTGACGGGCAGCAGATGCAGTGAGTGAGAAAAGTGAGGAAAAAACTGCCGTCCACTTGGTTTTCTCTCTTGAGTGACTTGACTCCCCTCTCCATTAGAAACAAACAAACTCCCCACAGATACACTAATGGCTCCGTCCTTGCAGGAGTGCTCTGCTATTTTCTGTGTGTGTGTGTGAGTATGTTTGTGTGGCAACATCCCATCCTTCTTTGAAAGTGTGCTTCTGTGTCGTGGCTGTAAAATGAGGGTTTGTGTATCTGCTGGCACACGAGTGTGAGAGTGTGTGTGTCGTCACCAGTGAAGGGATTCACTTTTGTGGAATATGAATGAAGGTTAGAGTAATGACTACCATTTCTATTCTTTCCTCCTTCCCTCCGGAGTTCATCTGTCTCTGTCCTGTGCACGTGCGTGCACACATGTTACAGCCACGATAACCTTCCTCAGGCCACGAAACGCTTGTCCTGGGATATATTGGTGTGGTTGAGCGTCACTGGTTTTACACTGTAAAATATCTGTACTTACAGCAATGTGTGTACTTCCAGTGGTGGCTTTATGCCTATTTGTGTGCTGCAAAGACAATCATTATAGCGTTCCTGACAAGTGACATGCAGAAATACGACAAACGGGATGCAAATAAAACCTGTGAAATTTTTTTAGATTTAGGGCATGCTTGCAAAACATGTGAAACAGGTGTGTAAGAACTTTTCAATCTAATGAGACGGTCATTTATTTTGTATTTTGTTCCCCCTCCTGTTTATTTTTTTGTGAGCTCCGACTCCACTCAGCCTAACGTTACAGCCCTCGGCTGACCCCAGACGGTTTGCAAAACAGGAAGCATTACAACATTCAGCCATTCCTGCACATCTGGACAGGACGGACAAACACATGCTAAATCACACAAATGTGCTTTCATGCATTCACACACACATACATAGACAGAGACAGACACACAGACAGACACACACACACACACACACACACACACACACACACACACACACACACACAGACACAGACACACACACAGACACACACACACACACACACACACTTATCTGCTTCACTGGGATGTTGCAACAGGATATTAGAGTCCTTGAAGATCAAGTCTGATATGTGACATGAATGGTTAATGAGTTTGTCAAATCTCAATGTGGCATCTGTGCGAACAAAATTTGAGCAGCTTTCTGACTCAAGTGTTGTAACTGATGCACCACAGTACAACAAGTGTGTCAGTACACATTTGTGTAAAGAACGGGGAAAATCCTGAGAGTCAGTCGGCAGCAGTTCAATAAGCTGACTGAGAAATCCACTTAAAAAAAGTCAGAAATCCATAAGCAGGTGAAGCTTCCAGAAGAAGGGCGGAGGGGATGATTAAAACGCACGCCTGCAACGGCAGAAAAGTTTGGACATGATGGCTGAAAATCCACGGATTTTATGTTAAACCCTCCAAACTTCTGTCTTCCATCCTGTCCACCAAAACCTGGCTCTCTTAATGTTGACCCAAACACACAAACACACTTGGCATATTTTCTTAACCACTGCACTATCTGCTTAAAAAGTCGCCACCCTATCCGCTTAGAGAGGAAGATGAGGAAGCTCTAAGCAACTTCAGAGAACTTCAGAGAATCTCACCTCTGATTAAAGTTTAAAACACAAAGACGAGGGACAGCGTGTGTATTCCTCTGTGCTGAGCTAGTAAACATGTCTGACTTGCTGTGAGTGTGTGAGGTGCTTTAAAAGTGACGTAGAAACCTCACATATAAACACACACGGTGTTCAGATGAGGCTAAAAAAAATCAGCTACAATCATCTAGGTCGACGTGTGCATTTGTGTGTGAAGCATAAAAGAAGCCAAATCTAGAAGTTATCTTAGCAGGATCTCTTCAGCTTTTGCTTTTATGTCGCACACATTCAAGCAAGCACCCAACAACATATTTATGCACATGCTAAATAATCTAGGCAGCGTGCCAGGGCGGCCCATAATGCATGGCAGTGTTTGGGTGGATTTCTGTTTGACAGAGTTGTTTCCTGTTAAACTTTATTTTTACAGTGTGCTTAAAGCCAGCTGCTGCACATGTGACACAGACAGT